TATATAAAACAGGTTGCTATGAAGGCACAGACCACTCATGAATACCAAATTATCATTATTAAGAAAAGAAAAACCCTCAAAGCTTTCCACCATCCTAACAAAAAGGAAGGACCTTAGTTTTGGGAGATGCCCAGCTATTAAGTGCACTTGCTGCTCTCAGAGGTCCTGAATTTAGTTCCCAGCATCCATGACTGGAGGTCCCTTAACACCTTGTAACTCCAGTTGCAGGGGATCAGTGCCCACTTCTGGCCTCTGTGGATACCTGTACGCATGTGTCTTATACTTGCACACACACATACATACATACACATAAGTAAAAAAAATGCTTTTAAAAAGAAGACCTATTTGCTGCAGGACATGTAGTCGGCACATAAAACGTGTCTGAGTTGTCTGAATTTAAAGAAGTCACTCAAGTTAATTTACTCTTGTATGTATTATACATACAGTGTTCTGCCTGCATGTATGCCTGCAGGCCAGAAGAGGGCACCAGGTCTCATTATAGGTGGTTGTGAGCCACCATGTAGGTGCTGGGACTTGAACTCAGGTTTTCTGGAGGAGCAGCCAGGGCTCTTAACCTCTGAGCCTCCTCTCCAGGCCCCTAATTTTCAAATTTTTAGAAATGGTCACAGAACTTTGTGCTGATGTGCCTGACAATGGTGTGCCTCCAGGAGAACAGAACTAGACCTGAGGTATGAAAAGATAACCTGCATGTGCTTTCTGTTGCCATGACAGCAAGCAAAACAAAAAACACTGCTTAGTATTTATTTCCATTGGCTGTGTGAGTGATTGTGTAGGCACGCCCATTCACTTTGATTTCAGGTGCACAGTACTTTCAGTTGTACTGTGTGGTGTGCAAACCCAGCTTTGTGGTCTTGAGGCAGTTACTGCTAGGTATGAGAATCAACTTTGCTCTCTAAAGTAAGAGTCGCCCCCTGCTCCGCCAGCATCTTGTTATGTAACCCACGCTGGCTGGAACTCTCATTGTAGCTGACTGACCTGAAACTCAAGATCTTTTGCCTCAGCCTCCCAAGTGCTGGGATTAGAGGCAGGTACTGCTCACCCAGATGCCTCTACTGTTCTTTTCAAAATTAAAAAGTTACAGAGTATGGCTAGTGGGACAGAGTTACAGACATGATCGTTAAATGGCTTTGTGAATTTCTTTTAAAAGCATTAAATCCTGGTTTGTAGCAAAGAGAAGAGCATTACCCAGTGTTGATTTGTCAAAAGATCACAGTTTAGCCCTTGAAATAAATGTTTCCCAAAATAACAGCATTTGGGAAACTTTGAGGCCTGGTTCAGTCCTCGCTCAAGAACTAAGAGGCCTTTCATATTCTGAGGGCAGAATACTGAGTACCAGCAGAAACAAGAAGCCCTCAGTCCCCCTTGTTCTGCCTGGGGACCCACTGCACTATTATTAGCATGGCATACAAAATAGATTTGGTAAACACTGGAGAAGTCCTGCCAAGGAGCGTCTCAAAGACATATGGTCTTTTGTAAGTGCCACGATCTTTGCAAACAAGCAAGATGTCCTAATTAAGAGGGAGCCTTTGCAGACATCTTGTTCTAAAACTTAGCGTTGAGCTTCCGAAACAGACCGGCAGAACTTTGGAGGTGGGGCAAAACACCCGGTGCCTTTTCCCAGGGAGACCAAGGTTGAACTAGAGAGTCGCCATCTCTACTTTCACCACCAGAGGGAGCGCAACTACATGGAATCAGCCAGGAGCCGACTTCTGGGGTCCAGGCAGGCTCCCAGGTCTCCCGCCAAGGACCTTCCTTCTACACCTTTTTGAGGTAGCGGAAATGTAGAGGTCAAACCCCTGTTCAGCGGGGTTAGGACATGGGTATTATTCCCTCACTTTCACAAACTTCAGTAAGGAGCGTGCACATTTAGCTGAATGACTAAATGGGGGGTGGGGTGGGGGAGATGAATAGCCATTCTTCTAGTCAGCTTTGCCTCGTGTGTGTGTGTGTGTGTGTGTGTGTGTGTGTGTGTGTGTGTGTGTGTGTGTGTGTGTGTGTGCGCGCGCGCGCGCGCCTGGGTTTCTCACCACAGAGGTCCCTCTTTGTAATGATTTTATGGGATGGAGTTTGGACCAGGCCAGGATTCTGAACTCTTCTCACCCCAAATCCTTGTTCTGTGTCTCCTTACCTGCGTGTTAGCTTTTCCCAGGTAAGGGACCTGACCTTGGGCTACACAGTTCCTGCTATCAGCCCTGTTCCCGACAGGTGCTCAACCGAGAGTCAGTGACTGACAAGAGTGGCTGGTGTGTGGCTTTTTTTTTTTTTTTTATTATGGAGGAGCGTCCAAGAAGAATGGAGCACAGTTTTGATATGTCTAGCCATATTTCTTTAACACCTGTGTGTGTGTGTGTCTTCCTAAATACACATATAGCACCTGCTCAGTCTGTATGATGTTACTTGCGTGTATGTTTTCAGACTATTTGGTACTGGGGAGTCGGTTGGTGTTCTCTCCTCTGGGGGAGACTGTCGTCGTGCTCCCCCCGCCCCCCCAGCCTCTCAGCCTTCCTCAGTTGCCTGCCGGTCTGTGTTGAAGTACAGACTGCTCAGGTTGAGGCCCCTTGGGCTTTCCCCTTCCACATTAGCGTCTGTTCAGCTCAGGTTTAGGCTCCTGGATGTATTTTTGAACTTAATGGAAATCAGAACAGTGGTAGTCAAACAAAATACTCCAGAATAAACATTACCTATTTCTTCCTCATTGTAAGCATGCCCCCAATATACATACAGAACCCCCTCTTGGGAAAAGGGGTGGTTCCCAAGGGATTTTTTTTTTACCAAAAGACATTAAACTAGACAATGGCTTTTTGCAGAAAATAATACTTTATATTTATTTCTATTCGTTGACAGTTTCTTAATGTACCCGACAAACTTTACCCATCTCACCACTTACCCCCCCCCCCCCCCCCCCCCCCCCCGCACTGAAACCTCCCAACTAGTCCCCTCCCCCTCCGACTTTTCAATCTCCTGTGTGTGTGACCCACTGGGTTTAATTAGGGATTTTGTATGAGCACAATCTAACTACATTGTCACTCACTGAACCTGGGGCTCATTGGTTAAGTGTCTGAGATGGCTGACCGGTGAACCCCAGGGATCCTCTCTGCCTTGCTAGTGCTGAGATACAGATGGTAAAAAAAAGCAGTGTGCCCAGCTTTTATGTGGGTGCTGGGGATCTCATCTTCATTCCTCTTATGTGAGTGTCAAGTGCTTGAACCACTTATCTCTCTCTGCAGCCCCTAAGACCAACCTTGCTTTAAGTGAAGGAAAATCTGAAGTCAAAGTCTTGGGGCTCAGGTCTCTTGGTCTGAGTCGATTCTGTTCCATTTGCAGGGGGAACAAGAGTGCATGCTGAACTTAGAAATAGCTCTTTCTAACAAATTCTAAAGCCAAATTAAGGAAGTCCTCTGATTCTGGAAAGGATTCCTAAACTACCAACCAAAATATGAATAAAGACACCAAAAGAAAGGCTTTCACATAGACAAGAATTCTAATAGGAGACAAAACTCCTGTGAATACGTGGTGTGTATCTTGCCTTTGACTGAGTCACAGGAAGAATTGTGGGTGGGGAGGACATAAGGACAGGATTGAAGGTGCTGGACTTAACTTGATACTTCTTGAGCATGAAGAGTGTGTGCCCTGGTTAGTTTTTTTGTCAGCTCAATACAAGCTAGAGTTATCTGGGAAGAGGACACTCAGTGGAGAAAACACTCCCCTCAGATTGTCTGTAGGCAAGTCCGTGGTGCGTTTTCTTGATTGATGATTGATGTGAGAGGGCCCAGGCGACTGGGAGCAGCATCAACTGCTGGACCAGATGGTCCTGGGTGCTGTGAAAAAGCAGGCTGAGCAAGGCACTGAGCATCCTTCCTCCATGCTGAGCAAGGCACTGAGCATCCTTCCTCCATGCCTAGCAAGGCATTGAGCATCCTTCCTCCATCCTTCTGCTTTAATCCCCGCCTTGAGATTCCTGCCTTGAGTGCCTGCCCGGACTTCTCCTCACGATGACTGCACACACTGAGGGTAAAGGAAACCCTGTTCTTCTGAAGTTGCTTTTGGCCATGGTGTTTTATCCTGGCAATGGAAACAAATTAGAACAGTGTGAACATATCAAAACCTACCACAACAATCTTAGTAACAGATTCGTGTCTCTGCTTGGCTAGACTACACATTCAATTCCTCCAGTGCTGGTTCCAAAAAGCTCTTTATGAGTCTAAAGGGATTATTAACAAATGCAACATTTGAAAGATGGAGCCACAGTAATTTCTAGCAAGATATCAAAAGCTTCGAGCACATTTGTGTTCATGAACATGATCATCTAGTACTTTAATGCAATAGCAGAAGCAAGCTGGGATGAGAGGGGACTAAAGAACAAGGGAGAAAGGAGGTGGGGAATTGTAGGGTGCATCTTAAACTCATTCTTGGGACCATGAAGGTCTGACCTGCTCCCCAGGTCAGTCTGCCTCTACCCCGGAGAGGCCTCAAAAAGTTCTGATTTGGGTCTATTAAGCAAGAGTGGGCTATTTGACAAGATTGAGTAAGGCTGGGACCTTTTTGGGATCAATGCATCATTGATTAATCTCTTCTGAGGCGCCACAAGAGGGCAAAGCATCTCATCAGGAGACGTGGTATTGATGGTGATACTGGTGTTAGCAGTGAAGGCCCATTCTCTGTTTGATACTAAAAACAGAGACAATTACTCAGGAAGGGCTTCCAAAACCAGAAGCAGTAGTGGAGCACATGCTAGTTTACTATGTTAGCAATCAGAGGCTGAATGTTACGTCATGGTGAGAATACTCCCATTTACTTAGGATGTAATACCATCTTCAAGCCAGGGATGGTTGGGGCAAGGCTCACTGTTAGGGTCAGCCCGTTACTTTTGCAGTGTGGAGGATGGAAGCCGGGGCCTTTGGCACGCTGGACGATGACTCCACCATTGACTTACAAATCATATTTTCAGCCTATGTTTTTGTTATTTGAAAATGTTCTAGGTTTTCATGTTTGAGATGAATGGTTCCTCTACAGCAAATGAAGCTACCAGGCCAATGTTCTTCCAGTGTCTTATTACGTGGTATGTCATGCCTTTTACATCTCCTAATGTGCCATTTCTTCTTGTAAGTCTTTGAAGACTTGTACGTTCCACTACCAAGGGCTGAGACAGGCTCCCTCTTATGCTGTTCCTACACAAGTCTGAGGCATTTCATCACTCACCTGGTCCCCTGGACAGTTCTTATGCGTGACTTCACTCTGGCTGATTAGTCATGGTGATGTGGTCACCAGCCACAGCTCTTTTTTTTTTTTTCTGGGCTCGATAATGCCCCAGCATTCACCTCTGGCTGTGCCAATTTGTCATACACCAAACGGGCTAGGCTGACGGCCAGGAGGATGAGAGGTGTCCTGTGACTGGTGTGTCCTGGTCTTTGGTGTCTGGTGGCATTTAGCAAGGGCCAGCTGGTACTTCCTTAGTTAGGGGTGGGGGTGGTACAGCCTGCAGGCAGACAGCAATTAAAATGGACATTTCTTCAGTTTACAATCAAGCCCTTTCTTTGTGGCTTGTTTTTGGTACCACTGCCTTCCCGGAGACTCCTTGGCTGTATCTATCCAGGATTAAAGTGATGCCTTAGGCACTTGGGGAGAGGCTGGGAGGCGTTGGAGAATTCTATTACTCCACCCTCTACTGTGCTTCGCTTCTATCAAAAGTCCCCCATTCTTTCTGGAGGGGAAAGTCCCGGAACTGGGTGGGATTGCCCCAGGGAGCCAGAAAAGGAGGGTTCAGAACCACTTTCTTACAGTGTCCTTATTTTGAGTCACAGGGAGGGGAAATGAGGCTTAAAACAATAGCTTTTTATCTGTTCTAATGTTGAAGCATGGTATAAATCAGGTCCTTGATGTCTGCATTAGCGGTAGGGAACCTGGGGTTTGCGTGTGGATGTCAGACTGGGACTCGGAAAGGGGCTGGATGACTGTTTTTCTCAGTTCCGGCTTTGAGATACTGAAATGTTATAACCAAGGTTGAGTGAAGGGAGAGACGTGGGGGTGGGAAGGAGTCCTGGGCAGCACAAGAGGATCAGCTTGCCCAGGCTGTGACTTCCTCCTAGTTTCCCATAGGGAGATTGGAACAGTGTGCTCTTCTCAGAGACTGGAGGGACACACATCTTCCATGCTAGGTGAGCTCTCTTATTCGCATCGGGAAACAGGTAGAAGAGCCTTTTCGGCATTTCCTGCTTATTGTTTTTTCAAGGTCCCAGAAAGTGGAAGGTAGGAAAATGGGAATAGAAGGGGAGAGAATTCTGGGCACCCCAGAGAGCTTCTTCCCACAGGTGACAGTCCCCCTGTTATCAAGAAATCAAATGGCTTGTCTTGTCTGGACCTAGAGCTGACAGTTTCCAGTGTCAAAAAGACCCCAGGATCATGGTTGTTGGGAGAAGTGCCTATTGGACAAGAGGAATCACTGACATTGTGGGAGCATTTATGCTGATAAAGAGAAAATTCAAGTCCAGCTTGCTGAAATAATCCACAGGACCCACTTCCCACCACAGGGATGCTGAGGGTGACTGGTCTTGAGCTGGGATGGCTCCCAGTGAGCCAGGAACATTAAATGACCTTGGATCCTGAACAGAAGGGAAGTGGCCCCCTTGGTCTAACCTGCCTTGAGTGACACCAGAGAAGGATAGGGAAGGGTGTAGAGAGAGGGGGAGTGCTGAGGAGGACCGGGTGCCACCGAGATGTTTCTGGCACTGGAGCAGCTGGCATCCTGCTCTATTGAGATTGGCTGGCCCAGGAGGATCCTAATTACTGCACAACTGCTGCCTTCATAATCACAGTGATAGCAGCAGTGTGGGCCGGAAGGAGATTCGAGATGGATCTGGTGACGGCTGTGGAGGATGCCGGAATCATTGTTCTTTGCCCTGGCTTCAAACAAGGGGGCTGTTGCCAGCTGCCTGCTAAGTTTGAAACAGCTGTCCCCAAGAAGGGGCCAACCCTTCCTGCCTCATCTCCAGAGCAGATACCAGCCCCAGCCATCAGGTCTGTCCCTAAGTCTTTTGGTCATGGCAGAGGCACCCATGCCCTCTGGCCATGGCAGTAGGGGGCTAACTGGAAGAACCTTAGGACTATTTACTCTAGGAGATATCAGAGGGGAATTTCAAAGTGTGGAAGGAGGTCAGGGAGAGCTGGGCTGGGAAAGAAATTTACATTTAAAGACCAAAAGGATGACACCTCTGAGGAATTATCCTGACAGCAAAGGGAAGGACTATGAATTTATTTGTTAGGTGACCTCTTTGATTAAACAAAAATCCAGAGAAAACAAAGGTATTTTCTCATAGCTGCCACATACATACATACATATATACATACATACATACGTGTGTGTGTGTGTGTGTGTGTGTGTGTGTGTGTGTGTGTGTGTGTGTGTGTGATTTTCTTTTTCTTCTGGATGAAGCCTCAGGTTTATGGTCAATGCGAGAGAGCCTTTGAGGACAGCTCTCAGTGGGGTCTGCGAGCAAGTCAGAGGCTGGAGACACAAAAGAGGGATGGTGGAAACGGAAGAAAGTGGGGGGGAGTGGTGAGTGTACTGGAGAAGGATGCACACCCCACTTGGACTTGTCCATTTTATGACTGGGTCTCAGGAAGATGCCGGGACTGATCAACCACAGGGACTCCTAATGAGGCAGCCATTGTATCCCCTCCAGGTCCTTTGTTGGCTTCCTGACTTCTGGGTGCTGAGGAGACTTCTGGAAGAAGAAATGGCACAGCAGATTTATTGACTGGTCACTTTCCTCCTGGGAGTTTGGTGACTGGTTAGGACACAGCAGAGAACCACACAAAGCCGACTTGCCATGCCGCTGCTCAGGGCGGGCACACTGGGGGAGAAACTTGTGGACTCAGAATTTCCTGGCTCTCATTCCTCTTTGTTTAGTCCCACACCAGCTTTATGGAGTGTCTGGCTCCAGTGTACCACACAATGTCATATGTGAAATCTTAAGATAAACCAGATATATTCTCTTCTAAGTCCTTCAGGATCACAGGGTCCCGCTACACCATGACTCCTTTCCAGTTGCACCACAAGCCAGTAGGGCAGTATTGAGTATGGCGAGGCTGCAGGGCTGAGGTGTGCACATTTCAGTTTGGTTAAACTTCTACTTTGGCTTTTGGATGGCATTGGGAACAAAATGGGCTTGAGTTTCTTCTCTACCATTCTAGGAGTCTATGGCCCTTAATGTTCCCAGTAGCCGTAAGAGAACCTGGGGTTTACACAGGGATATCAGACTGGGATTTTTTTTTTTTTTTGGTTTTTCGAGATAGGATTTCTCCATGTAGTTTTGGTGCCTTTCCTGGATCTCGCTCTGTAGACCATGCTGGCCTCAAACTCACAGAGATCTGCCTAACTCTGCCTCCCGAGTGCTGGGATTACAGGTGTGCACCACCACTGCTCAGCCAGACTGGGATCTTGAAAGTGATAGAATGATAATTTTAAGACACTGTTGCACCATAGTGTTTCATGTCAGTCCTGACTTTGAAACCCACAGACTCATTAGCAGGATGTTACACTGGGCAAAGTGGGCATGGCTTCACGGAAACATGGTATAGTCATCTGAAAGAATATGGCCCCCATAGGAAGTGGCACTATTAGGAGGTGAGGCCTTGTTGGAAGAAGTGTGTCAATGTGGGGGGCAGGCTTTGAGGTCTCCTATGCAAGCTATGCCCAGTGAGGACACAGTTGTTTCTGCTGCCTGCAGATCAAGATGTAGAACTCTCAGCTCCTCCAGCACCATGTCTGCCTGTGTGTTGCCATGTCCTGCCATGATGATCATGGACTAAACCTCTGAAACTGTAAGCCAGCCCCAATGAAATATTTTCCTTTATAAGAGTTGCCTTGTTCGTGGTGTCTCTTCACAGCAACAGAAACCCTAACTGAGATACCTGTGATGTGTGTGACTGAAGGTTTTTCTCTCGGGTTAATCTGATCAGAAAAATCAGAGGAAGACAAGAAAACAAGGGGTCTTTGGCATTTTAATGAGTGGAGTTTGGAAATAGTAATTAGAACCATGTATTTGGGAAGCAAGATTGATTAGTGGAGTGAAGGACACCATTTACATTACCTAGCTCATGGTTAGTCTCATCCCGTCAGAACCCTGTGTTCACACATGGAACTGTCTGCAGCACTTCCAATAGGTGGAATGGAGACCATAGAACCATGCACCATCAGAAAGAACGCTGTCTAGCTTCCTCTGGTCTTAGAATCCTCCATCCTCACTTGTGGCCTCTAGGGTTCCAGCTCTGGGTAGAGCTGAGTGTCATCCTGTCTCCAGCTTTACATACGGGCTGATTTCATGTTTCTAGTCTGGCTCAGTCTCCTGTCATTTTGAAACTGTTTTCCATTTAGGCTATGTAAATCACAGTCTTGTGCTGCATGATAACATTTCAGTCAGTGACAGAATGTATGGTGGTCCCATAAGTTTATAACGAGGCCAAGAAATTCCTGTCACCTAGTGATGTCAGCCATCATAACACATTCCACATGTGTTTGTGATGATGCTGCTGGCCACCACCAATGTGTGGTAAGGCACATAAAAGTAAAACTTGTGTAACTATGGGACAGCACACAATACATGGAAATGGTAATAAATGTTACTGGTTTATATAATTATTGCACCACACTATACATATTAACCTTTGTTTTAGAGTGTCCTGCTTTGCATATAAAAAGTTGACTGTAAAGCGGTGTAATTGCTATTTGAATGGCAGCCTCAGTGTTTTGTGCTTGCTCCATTCCTTTTAGTGTGTAAGTGTGTGTGTGTGTGTATGCATATGCTCATGTGTATGTGTGTGTGCACAAGCACGCATGTACACATATGTGCATTGAAGACCACAGGACCACATCAAGTGTTGTTCTCAGGTGACATCTACTTTTTATTATGATTTTTTAGATTTAGAGGTAATTTCCCTCACTAGTTTGGGCTGAACAGGCAGGCCAGTGGGCCCCAGGAGTCATTCTGTCTCTTCTTCCCCAGTGCTTGAATCACAAGCACTGGACACTGAACTGTGTCCTAGCTCTCACAATTGCAAGGCCAACAGATTACCAAATGAGCTGTCACCCCAGCCCTTGCCATATGCCTTAACTGTACCAAGTGGCCATAATGAGTGCTTAATCTACATCATCTAAGATTATTATGTTTGCAAGAAGATGAAATTGCCTAATGCTGAACTTTCCATAATGTGTTTCTACCACTAAACAAAACATGGCTCTATCTGAAAAATCACGTGATTACCTCCTAGGTTGTCTTATGTGTGCTATTTGTACATGTTTTCAACACATGTATACACATTTTTATCAGAGATGATCAGCTGACTAGATCAGGGTTCCTTGGTATTTGTAAGTTTTTAAGCACTAAGCAGTAGATGGTTAGGTGAACTGGCATGCACATAGATTACTGTGCAGACATTACTGAGCACGTTTGTGACAGGATGCTCCATATATGATACAAAGTATCAAATGAGAACATAAGACCACGTACTGTGATGACCTCATTTCTGCAGAAATATATGGAGGAATAATAAACCCCACAGGGAATGCGCTAGGACGTGAGCTAGTAAGTACCTGTTGGAAGTGAGGCTCTAGGTGAGTTTTCTCTTTTGACAAACCTTTTCTATAATCAATAGGTACAATTTTTTATAATCAGAATTTTTTTTTTATAAAAATAGTTACAAAGTGGGTTCCTGACAGGACACTGGATTTAACAGCTCAGTTATACACGATGACAAAGTTAATTAGTTGCAGAGTCAGGCTCTTGGTCAGGCATGTACCTCTATTGTGAGATAGGAGGGGGCACCCACAAGAAGAGACACAGGGATTTTAATGGAGAACCAGAGCCATGGATGTCAAGATAAAATGTGAGCCATTGACAAATCCCCAGTGGTATGAAACAGCATTCTGGGCTACCCATTGGAGCTAGAATAAGGTCTCTACATCTCTGCCTCTTTTCTCTCTCTGTCTCTGTCTCTGTCATTTGTCTGCCTGTCTGCCTGTTTGCTATCTCTGCCTCTGTCTCTGTCTCTGTCTCTGTCTCTCTCTGTGTATGAGAGAGAGATAGAGATAGAGAGAGCACATATGGAGGCCAGGTTGATGTTGGGTGTCTTCTATTGCTCTCCACCTTAGTTACAAGACAGCACCTCTCACGGACGTCACGGGTTCCGCTAGTGCTGCTGGCCAATGAGCCACAAGGTCTGCCTGACTCTCCCTTCAACCTCCAGTGCAAGCACACACCTGTAAGTAGTTTTACTACTGGTTCTGGGATCTGAACCTCAGACCCTTGGGCTTGCACAGCAGGCACTTTGCTCTCTGGACCATCTTTCAGCTCCTAGAATGAGGTTTGGGCCAATATGATCAGAATTTCTAGGGTGGAGTTACCCCAGTTGTTACCCACACTTTTGCAAAGTCAATACATTCCAATTAATTTGTTATTGGAATTTTAGCTACCCAAATGCTCAGTTCAGGAGACGCTTAGTCCAGAGTCTGAACCCTTGTCAAGTACGATTTCTGTCAGGGTTTTAAGTGATGCAGTGTGTTGAGACATGAAATTTTCAGTTATCTGTTCTCCTGCCAATATTAAAAAAATAGACAGGAGAAGAAAATAACCACAAAGACATTTAATCAGTTACATGGATGGGGTTTATTTCCCCCCATTGGGTAATGTTTTTCAAAAAGTCCTTGGAGAATTTAAGCTGAATTAATATTTGTCAATTCAAAGCCACATAACAGCAGTTTCAGCCTGTTACAAAACCCAGTCTCATGGCACAGGAGTGAGAAATCAATTTGTCACCAAAATTTCATTTGTTTATTACCCAAACAAACGGAAAAGCAGGGTTGGAGAGTACGGCAATGTGGTGAGGAGTGAGTTTTTGGCTTGTATTTCCCCTTAGTAATTGAAGGGTTGGATGAGAGCTGTTTCTAAGTGTAAAAGCCAAATCCACGACTGTGGTGGTGAAACACATCTGAACTCGCTGCTGGCAGTTGCTGTATTTGAACGTGGGGTGAGAGGAAGACTCCACTTTGGACAATAATTCAGTTTCTAATTCATGAGTTCGGGGGGGAGGTTCTTTTTTTTCAGATATCCCTTTTCCTTTCTGCTTTTCTTTTTATTAGATGATATCATTTGTATTGGGACCAACAAGGACAAACGAGTACACGGGGATTATCTGTGCTTAAAAGTATTACTAGACAAACTAAAAAAAAAAATCAGTAAATTTGGTTCAAGTCTGTACTTTACTTCTTACCTGCTGCGGGGTGTTGGGAAGTCACTTGACTTTCCAAATTCTCTCCTGTCGACCCATTGCCTGGGGATAACAGTACGCATCCCAGCTCAAGGTCCAGAATTGAGATAAACAATCACCTCTTTCCTTTCTACAGAGCACTCCCCCCTGCATTCTCATTGCATGTATTAATGCACAGGTTATATCATAGACAGGCTTGTTTTTAAAATGTCTGTATATACAAATAAGAAATAAACTCCCCAATACAGAGCTCATTCAGTATTAGAGCTGTACGAAGATGGTGCCCAGCACGCAGTGTCTGGTCGATGTACATTTGGTGGGAAAGACAAATTTTGCTCTAGGAGGAAAGCACCAGGAGGACAATGTGCTGTAACCTGGTGGTTTAGCTTCATTTTCCGGGTCCGTAGTTCCAGTCCCCATGTCAACATTTGTAGTTGTGCAACCTTGGGTGAGCTAATTAGCCACTTAGGGCCTCCACTTCACCCTTGCCATAGGTCATAGTGCTTGACTTGAAGCTAGGGGAATTTAAAAACATTATCCAAGTGAAGTAACTGACCCAGGATCAGTGTTCACTGTCACCTGTTAACTATGAGTTTCTATTTATTTAGTGCTCAAACTCATCTCTCCAAGCTGGGATGGATTAAAGAAACTTGATGTCATAAAAAGGGGATATGGCAAAAGTTTTCTGTCATGTCACACAAAATACCATCTCCTAGTATTTAGGTTTGCCACATGGCTGTGTTTGCATGTTTACATTTTGGGCAGGAGGAGACACATGGAACAAAGACTTGAACAGCAGGATTCTTGCTGTCTGAGTGCAGGGCACTAAGTGCCAGTCAGGGTGAGGCTAGCCAAGGTGAAGCAGCTGAGGAATCATTTTTGAACATCATAGGTTGGTGGGACTCGGCATGGGATCATTGCTCTGGCAGCAGTGAAGTGTTGTTGGAGCCACAGGCTAACAGGGGGAAAAGATGAGGACGGGTGTCCTGAGCTTCTGTGTCCTTAGCAGGATGCTCAGCCCTAGATGACCCCTGCTGCCTGAGATCCATGGAAACCCCAGTTAGACAAAGGAGATTATGGTTGTAGAACAAGAAACACAGGGGACTAACATTTATTGGCATTCCCTAGTTACTTGGCTTGTTAAAAAAGTTACTGCTTCATTGAGTTTTTAAAACAACCATGACATGGGTATTATGTTTACTGAATAAAGACCTGAGGCCGAGGAAGACTGAGAAACTCACTAAAGGGTCCTTATCGAGGTTGGTACAGATGGAAGTAGACCCTCCCTGACTCTGAGGAGTTGGCGGGAGTCTGATCTGGCAGAGAGCGGCTCAGCACTGAGATGGGAGAGGCCCACATGGAGCAGCAGCAGCAAATGGCCGTGGGGGTGGGGGGGACGGGACTGTCCCTGAACCAACTGCCTATTCATGGGGCTCTTGCATGCTTCTTAGCTCTGAGCTGGGCAGAGCCCAAAGGGAAGTACATAGAGAAGAAAGGGAGGCTGATAGAGAAGCAGTGTCTGGGAATGGCCTCTGACCTACCCTGGCTTGTAATGTCGTGTCGCCCACCCCCTACTCCATCCCTCCTCCCCATGTTTATACAGACAGCCTTCCTAAGTGATACTTTGTGAATGTTCCTAGCTCTTTACTTGACAAATTGTTTCTAGCTATCTCCTAAGGTGTCGGGTTTTCTGTTCTAGCATGCAGTCTTCTCCAGTGAATGAGGAGTGCCACAGATACCATTTTTCCTTATTACCCAATATCTTGTCATTCACATCGTTGTTCCTCACTGCTGGAGATCTGAGCCAGCAGAGTGGGTTTTGGTAATGACTGGGTTGGTTTTAAAATCCTGGGCTGCTTTCTCTTATAATGACTGTTTTGTTTTGTTTCACGACCTCCTGAGTATATGCCATGCACCCATGCTTCCCATAGAGGGAAGCAAAACTGGCCACAGAGACTCCAAAGCAAGGCCACTGACCCTCAGCTTGAAAGAGTGGGAAGAAGTGGAGGAGATGTGGGCTGAGAATGACTCTGTGTCCCAGCCCGTCGACCCTGGAGAAGGCCGAGAGGTGACACATGCATTAGGAGTGGTTTCCCAGGGCTGACATGTCACAGAAGCTGTCTACTTGGGACACACAGGTGTGTAAGAAGCCACATCTAATGAGCATGGGAAGGGAAGAGACTTATACAGGGGATGCCCTTATGGTGGCCTCCACGGTCATATTGGAATAGATTCCAGTAGTGTTTATGTGAACTGCACAGAGGAGACTTCTGCCTTGAAACTTAGATTAGAAAACAGTTTGGAGGATAAATATAGTTTGGAGGGGCATGGGTTCTGGATCTACTCTGCATCCAAACCTGCTTCTAATGCTTTTTGGCTCTGCTTTGTCTTAGAAAATTTATCTGAACTCCTAAGTTTTTGTTTCTCCAAATAACGATGTTTGGAATATTGAATAATTATGTAAGTTCTCCGTAGGATCCTGCCTGGCACTTTGGAAGGACTA